CTGCGTGTCAAGTCCTCTCAGAGAGATTTTTCTTTTTGTTTTTTTTTTTTTTTTTTATTCTTGGTCATAACCGTTGAGATCTCACCCTGCCATTGCATTTACATTGGTGTTTTTGTTGATTTCTTTTGTTCCATTTTCTCCCAGGCCCCCATGTCTTCCCCCTAAGCCACAGAAAATGAGGAGACCTAGGCCCCTCTCGGTCTATAATCATAAACTCTTTAACGGCAATATGGAAACGTTCATTAAGGTACTCGCTGGCTGACAGTAGGAGTTCATGAACGCTCTGAATGCAATGGTGGCTTTCCTGTCCCACTGCTGACTGCTTGCCTTCCTCGGGGGGGTCTCTCTGCTCCGCCCTGCACCCGGTCGACGCGGCCAGCGTGCGCTTTGCCTCGGTGATGATTTCTCTCTGTAGCTGTCCTCGTCCCTCCTGCATTCCCTGCGTTGCCCATCCCATCACCACCTGTGTGCTGGGGCAAGGGTGGCAGCAGCGGGGCCCCTTGTGGCTGGTGGCCATCAGCCGTGCTGGCCGGCCATGTGACGCGCTCTGGGCTGAGCATCCCCATCGTCCAGCGCTGCTTCCCCCCGTCCTGGGCAGGAGGATCAGGCAGCACGGAGCGCCCAGCTCGCACCCTCAAAGCATCAACAGATCCCCCACCTTCCCTTTTCCCACATGTGTTTGGTGGTCGTCTTCCCCGTGTCTGCGGAGGAAGATAAAATGACTCGTAAGCTCCCAGGAAGCGTCTCCCAGCTGTAGGGACTGGCAGCCTTGGAGTGAAATCCCACGCGTGGGGTGGCTGCGTGGGCGGGCAGGCACACTATCCTCATCCGTAAACAAAACACGTTGATAACACCCAGCCCAGCCGGCTCATCTCGGTGCCGACTGCTGAGAGGTGGCTGAGGCCATCGCAGTACTTGCCGGGGGTCTGACAGCCCCGTCCCACAGCCCGCAGGAAGGCTGACCTGCGGGGAGGACAGGCAGAGCCGTGTGCGGGGCCGCCAGCCTCTCCCGTGGGAAGCCGTTATCCCTGGATGTGCCACCACCCCTTGGAGTGGTTCCTGACCGGCTGCTGGGTGGTTTCCTCCAAACCATCGCTGGTGACACGCAGCGTGTGGCCTTTGTACGTGGGACAGAGGATTTTCTTCATTTGAGCCGGAGTGAGCTCCGGTGAACTCAACCAATTCCAGCGCAGTCCCAATGGAAGGGGCATTTGCCCCTGTTCACCCAGAAGGAGAAAACTGAGGAGATGTGGGTGTGGGAGTTGTCCCAAAGGATGCCTCCAGCTACAGAGCTGCCGATCCTCCGAAATCCTGCGCTCCCCTAATGCCTGGCTGCTGGGGGGATGCACGATGAGGTGATGCCGCTCCGGTCGCTCGGGGTGTTTAATCCTGCGCTGGAGAAAGCTGTAGTGAAAATCCTGCAGGAAGCAGCAATGACAGACTGATGGATTAGGTGAACTCATGGGCATTTGCTGGCTCCGATTTGTTCTCTTGGGCTCTTCTAGTGCAGCCCTAAGCCCGAGGGCAGCGTTAATAACAGTGCAAGGGCACAAGGAAGGTATGGGCCTGACTGACAGAGCCAGTCATCTCTTTAATACGTGTAATTTTTCCTTAAACTGGTTTTTAAAGAAGTCATGCTCGTTAAAGTCCAGCCTTGCTCAGCACTGTGGAGGAGGAATTCTCTGCACTGGAAATCTCTCCGAGCAGACATGTGTCCTGTGCCTGCAGAGACTCCTCGGGGCACGGTGCCGTGCTGACGGAGCGGTCCTCGAGGACAGGGACATGCAGGGGACTGCGGGTGCTGCCACTGTCCCCACACCGGGTGGCTCTCCCTGGTGTCCCCACACCATGTGTGGCTCTCCACAGTGTCCCCATGCCAAGCAGCTATCCCGGGTGTCCCCATGCCAGACAGCTGTCCCCATTGTCCCCATGGCAGGCACCTCTCCCCGGTGTCCCCATGCCAGGCGGCTCTCCCCAGTGTCCCCGTGCTGGGGTGGCTCCTCCCCAGTGTCCCCACACAAGTCGGCTCTCCCCAGTGTCCCCGTGCTGGGGTGGCTGTCCCTGGTGTCCCTACACCAGGCAGCTCTCCCCGGTGTCCCCGTGCTGGGGTGGCTCTCCCCGGTGTCCCCACACCAGGCAGCTCTCCCCAGTGTCTCCATGCTGGGGTGGTTGTCCCTACAGCCTCGCCTGTGCCTGGACAGGGGCTGGTGGTGGGCACAGGCCC